GTTGACCAGGATGGTCTCGATCTCTTGACCTCGTGATCCACCCGCCTCGGCCTCCCAAAGTGCTGGGATTACAGGCTTGAGCCACCGCGCCCGGCTCAAATATCCACTTTTCTTGCTGCATCTTAAAACACATGGAGAAGGGACAACTGCGCTCCCATTTTATAGACAGAACCATTGGAAATGGAAAGGCAAAGCCGTTCCAGTCGTCCTCGGGAAACAGGGATTCACTGCGGCACTGCCCAGCTGTCCCAGGAACTAAGGCACATCGTTCCCGCCAGTTTCTAGATATCTAGAGACCCAGACATTGATTTTTCTAGCTTGGCCAGGCGAACACCCAGGGGAGAGGCGGAGCGGTTAGGGGCAGGAGGAAAAAGGAGGGTCGAATGCCATCTCCCAAGTGCCCCAAGGTATTCGACACCTTGGCTCCCCCAGGGAGCTCAGGCCTTTAAGTCCTTTATCCAAAGGTCCCTTTAAATACTTTGTCCCTTACCTGAGTCCCGCCCAGGGCAGGTAATAACAAGCTCCGCCCCTCTGCCAGAAACCGGCATCGGGCCTGGTTACCCGGAGTGGGGAGCCCCTCCTCCCCCCTCCCCTCTTCCCTGTCACCCTTCACAGGTGGCTATAGGTGGCCAAGGAGGTCCGGATTAAAGAGGAAGGGGCAGTGCTCACAGGTCTGGGCAGGTAAGTGAATGTTCCTGGAGGAAAAGCTTGGCTTGGGGACCCAGGCATCCTAGCTCCCCGCCCCTCTGAGACCTAGAAGTCTGGGGCTCCTAGGCTTAGGAGTTCAGGGTCCCTGCCCCCTTAGATCCCTAGACCCAAAAATATATTTAATCCCCGGCCTCTGCCTCTGTCGTAATCTTTGTTGTCTGTGCATGGATGTGACAATGAACACAGAAGCACAAGTGGAAATTACCAGGAAGGGAAGAGTCCAGATCACCAATGGACATGTTTATGAGCGCCTGGGTCGGGTGCTGCAGACACAGTGGAGAAAAAGATAAGCTCCCTGGTCTATTCTCTGGCGACACTGCCTTCACTGAAATCCTGGCTCTCACACTTGCACACTGTGTGACCTTGGGCAAGTTAATTTACCTCGCTGTGCCTCAGTTTTCTCTTCTCTAAAATTGACGATAATAGGATTCCTGGCTATGTGTGGTGGCTCACGCCTGTAATCCCAACACTTTGGGAGGTTGAGGCGAGCTGATCACTTGAGGTCAGTGGTTTGAGACCAGCCTGGCCAACATGGTGAAACCTCATCTCTACTAAAACTACACAAATTGCCGGGCGCGGTGGCTCAAGCCTGTAATCCCAGCACTTTGGGAGGCCGAGGCGGGTGGATCACGAGGTCAAGAGATCGAGACCATCCTGGTCAACATGGTGAAACCCCGTCTCTACTAAAAATACAAAAATTAGCTGGGCGTGGTGGCGCGTGCCTGTAATCCCAGCTACTCAGGAGGCTGAGGCAGGAGAATTGCCTGAACCCAGGAGGCGGAGGTTGTGGTGAGCCGAGATCGCGCCATTGCACTCCAGCCTGGGTAACAAGAGCGAAACTCCGTCTCAAAAAAAAAAAAAACACTACACAAATTAGCTGGGCGTGGTGATCCGTGCCTGTAATCCCAGCTACGCAGGAGGCTGAGGCAGGAGAATCGCTTGAACCCGGGAGGCAGAGGTCACAGTGAGCTGAGATAGTGTCACTGCACTTCAGCCTGAATGGCAGAGCGAGACTGTGTCCCAAAAGAAAAGTGAAACGAGTTTATATAGGTAAACGGTGTCTGGCACCAGTGTCTGCTTGTGTAACTGTCCACTGTTATTATCATTACGGACCGCAGAGGCCAGTCAGAGAGATACTGCCTCACTACGCAGGGACTGAGGCCCTTGTCAGCTGTAGCACACCTACTTCTAGGCGTCCACAAAATATGAGGGGCCACCCCTCTCTGCTGCTGCTATACATGGGATTTACCACCTGCCTCAATACTTCACCCAGTGGGGAGAAAGACCAAGGTGAGTGTGTGGGGGAAGTAGTGTCCAGGCACTTGACCTTGGCCTCCCCCGACTCAGGAATGCCTGCCTCTATTCCCCCCCTCTTCCAGGAATCCAGGGCCCGGCCCTTTCCTCCTTCAGACCCAGGAGTCTGGATTCCCAGTCCCTACTCCTTCCTCCAGGACCCCACTGCTCCCCATCCCCCTGTGACTCCGGCCCTAGGGACCCTCTGTTTTTCTCTCCCTCACATCTTTGGGCCCAGAAGTCTTCCTGGGTCCCCCAGAGGCCCAGAGCTTCCTGAGTCGCCATACCCGGATTCGAAGAGCCAATCACTGGGACCTGGAGCTGTTCACACCGGGGAACCTGGAACGGGAGTGTCTGGAAGAGAAGTGTTCCTGGGAAGAGGCCAGGGAGTATTTTGAGGACGACACTCTCACGGTGAGGCCTTCGAGACCCTGGAGGCCAGGGCCCCCGTCTTCTCTATACCTGAGGGGAGGTTGCGGGGATGTTCTGGCCCTCAACTCCCTCCTCCCCGTCTCAGAAATCAGGGTGGGCTCGTTTGGGTTGTGAACATCCCAGCTGAATTGCCGCTTTTCCTCTTTTTTCCACTCCTCTCCCTTCAAGGAGCGCTTTTGGGAGAGCTACATCTACAATGGGAAAGGAGGTGAGTGAGGGGCTGAAGCCGTCTTCTTCCGTGCAGCCATGGCAGCCCCTTCCCAGGGAGGACAAACCAATGTCCTCCACCCCAAATTAGGGACAAGAATTGTCTGCCCCCCAATTCTCTGCTCCCTGAAGCTGGCTACTAAGGGAGTTTCCTCCCTTAAGACCCCAGCTTGATGCCGGGCATGGTGGCTCAAGCCTGTAATCCCAGCACTTTGGGAGGCCGAGGTGGGCGGATCACAAAATCAGGAGTTCAAGACTAGTCTGGCCAACATAGTGACTAAAAATACAAAAGATAGCCGGGTGTAGTGGTATTCGCCTGTGATCCCAGCTACTTGGGAGGCTGAAGCAAGAGAATTGCGTGAATCTGGGAGGCAGAGGTTGCAGTGAGCTGAGATCATGCCACTGCACTCCAGCCCAGGTGATAGTGCGAGACTTTGTCTCAAAAAAAAAAAGACCCCAGTTTGTCTGAGGAGCCCCCCACGTCTTATTATTATTTTATTTTTAATTATTTTTGAGATAGGGTCTGGCTCTGTCGCCCAGGCTGGGTGCTGTGGTACAATCTTGGCTCACCGCAACCTTAACCTCCCAGGCCCAAGCGATCCTCCCACCTCAGTCTCCGGATTAACTGGGATTCCAGGCACACACCACAATGATAATTTTTGTAGTCTTTGTAGAGACGGGGTCTGTGTTGCCCAGGCTGCTCTTGAAGGCCTGGTCTCCAGCAGTCCTCCTGCTTCAGCCTCCCAAAGTGCTGGGATGACAGGTGTCAGGCCCCACCACATCTTATTGGATGCAGGTCCCCTGTCCCTAGGAAGGGAAACGTGTCAGTGGAGGGAAAGGATAGAGCTATGTGGTCTGTCAGGCCTTCGGCTCAGAGTGGGCAGCCCCACCTGCATCCAGAGTAAGTGGAAAGACCAGCCCCTCTGGCAGCTTGGTTGCTGGGGACACTGCCCTCTAGCAACAGGACCAAGGGAGGAAGCCTGCCCGTCCTCACCTGCCCATTTTGCCCCCCACAACCCCTCCTCTGAGTTCCGAGGCCCTATCTTGTTGGCAGCCTTGTTGCTAAGGGGGGCCGCTCCTTAGCAACGGGGCCTGGCCAGGCCAGACCAGACGAAGAAGCCTGAAGCAGTACCTGGCTGGTCTCCCCTCCCCCACAGCCCCATCCCAGCAGCTGCCTGGTTGCTAAGGAGGCCTTCTCCCTAGCAACCACACCTAGCTAGGCTTTAGGACCCAAGGCCTCCTGCCCACTGGAGGACCACCCTCTGGGCCCCCAATGCCCCACCCCCTTGTGGCCCAGTTGCTAGGGGTAGATGCACCTTAGCAACAGGCCCTAGGTCTGGACTGGCGCCTCACATTGGAGCCTGGTTGCTAGGGGAGGTAACTCCTTCCCAACAGGCGTCGTGAGGCCTGGTGGCTCCTTGAATCCACCTGAAGGTACCCAAATCAGGAGAACCTGTCTTCTGAAGCCGCACTTGTGCTTTTTTCTAAAGGGGCACAAAAGTTTGAGGTTTACTGCAGCTGGATGCAGTGGCTCATGCCTGTAATCCCAGCGCTTTGGGAGGCCGAGGCAAGTGGATCACCTGAGATCAGGAGTTCGAGATCAGCCTGGCCAACGTAGTGAAACCCCATCTCTACTCAAAATACAAAAATTAATTAATACAAAAATACAAAAAGGTGTGGTGAGGTATGCTGTAATCTCAGCTACTCGAGAGGCTGAGGCAGGAGAATTGCTTGAACCCGGGAGGTGGAGATTGCAGTGAGCTGAGATTGCATCACTGCACTCCAGCCTGGGGGACAGAGTGAGACTCCATCACAAAAAAAAAAAAAATCTGGGGTTTACTTTTGGAGGAAAGCCCGCCTACCTAGTGCCCATAGAAATTTCCCCAGGAGCAAGCAGTAGCAAGCCCTCCCCAAGCCCAACGGCTCCCTGTGCCCCGCTTGTCCTTAGACTGGAGGCCTTGGATTACAAACAGGGCTGCACCTTAGTAACAGGTCAAACAGGAGCTCTAGATTCTTAGTTATGTTTTGGGGGATCCCTAAATTCCTCATTTGTTTTCTGTTGTTTTTGAAATGAGGTCTTGCTCTATCGCCCAGGCTGGAGTGCAGTGGCACAATCACGGCTCACTGCAGCTCAAGTGATCTTTCCACCTAAGCCTCCTGAAGAGCTGGGATTACAGGAACGCACCACCACGCCCAGATAATTAAAACAAATTGTTTTTGTAGAGATGGGGTCTCACTGTGTTGTCCAGGCTGGTCTTGAACTCCTGAGCTCAAGTGATCCTCCTGCCTTGGCCTCCAAAGTGCTGGGATTACAGGCACGAACCACTATGCCTTGCCAATTCTTCCATTAAGTGAATTTTTTCCAGCTTTCTGGTAAACTCAGAAACGTTCCTGTCGATTCTGTTCTTCCTTCAGAGTTCAGGCCTTGCCAATCCATGGCCTGGTTGGTAAAAAGAAACTGCATTCCAGAGTGGACAGTTACCAGAGAAAACACTGGAACCTCCCTCTTCTAGCCCCCCACCAGTTAAATTTGCAATTTTTTTTGCATTTTATTTTTTGTATTTGTTTTTTATTTTCCTTTTTCTTTTTTGAAATGCAGTTTTGCTCTGTCACTCAGGCTGGAGTGCAGTGGCACAATCCTAGCTCACTGCAGCCTCTAACTCCTGGGCTCAGGTACGTGTTACCAGGCCCCACTAAACCTTTTTTTTGAGACAGAGTCTCGCTCTGTTGCCCAGGCTGGGGTGCAGTTGTGTAATCCCGGCTCACTGCAGCCTCCACCTCCCAGGTTCAAGTGATTCTCGTGCCTCAACCTCCTGAGTAGCTGGGATTACAGGTATGCGCCACCACACCTAGCTAATTTTTGTATTTTTAGTAGAGATGGGTTTTCACCATGTTGACCAGGCTGGTCTTGAACTCCCGGCCTCAGGGAGTCCACCTGCCTTGGCCTCTCAAAATGCTGAGATTACAGGTGTGAGCAACCAGCCTCAGCCAGGCCCAGTTAATTTTTGGATTCTTTTTTTTTTTTTGAGATGGAGTCTCGCTCTGTTGTCCAGGCTGGAGTGCAGTGGCACGATCTCGGCCCACTGCAACCTCTACCTCCCGGGTTCAAGCGATTTTCTGCCTTCGCCTCCCAAGTAGCTGGGATTACAGGCGCCTGCCACCACACCCAGCTAATTTTTTTGTATTTTTAGTAGAGATGGGGTTTCACCATCTTGGCCAGGCTGGTCTTGAACTCTTGACCTTGTGATCCACCCGCATCGGCCTCCTAAAGTGCTGGGATTTCAGCCATGAGCCACTGCTCCTGACCTTTTTTTTTTTTTTTGAGACAGTCTCTCTCTGTTTCACAGGCTAGAGGGCAGTGTCAAGGTCTCAGCTCAATGAAACCTCCATCTTCCAGGCTCAAGTAATTCTTCTGCCTCAGCTTCCTGAGTAGTTGGGATTACAGGCACACGAACACTCGCCTGCACACCCAGCTATTTTTTTGTATTTTTAGTAGAGACAGGGTTTCACCATGTTGTCCAGGCTGGTCTTGAGCTCCTGACCTCAAGAGATCCACCTGCCTTGGCCTCCCAAGTGCTGGGATTACAAGCATGAGCCACTGCATCGGGCCTGATTTCATTAAGTATTCACAGTGGGGTAGGGGTTATGGTTCCCTTTTTTTTTTTTTTTGAG